TTTCTGAACAACTGGAATCATCTATGTCTTTGTAAGCTCTGCATTTATTTTTTGTTAATGCATTACTAGCAGCATCAATCAAGATAATTCTTAATTATTACCTCTGGCAAATGCTGGCACGGCCAGTTTATACATTATGTTCATTTGCCATGGAAGTCTGCTGTATTATTAAACTTTGAAGTACTTTTCATTATTTTATGTATGGCTTGGTTTATGAGAGATGTATAACAAGGCATGTAACCTAAGGAGCCTACAGTGAGGGATGGAGATGCAATGACTTCATGCCTGTGGAAGCCTCTTTGGAAAATACAGCAAACTGTATCCTGGAAATGAAACAACTAATGCCAGGCCACACATCTGCTTCTGGCAATCTCCTTTTTAGAGAAATACAGAGCCACAATTTAGCCAGTACTTTTGTTATGACAGAGGCCTAGATACAAACCTTACCATACTGAAAATTTGGGTTTTAAGTTTGTTGTGAAAAACTTTTCCTCATCATTCCAATGTGTCTACTCTCTTCATTGATCCAAGCCATAAAATCCAGTGTGGATTAAATTTACAGTGCAATTCTGCATACTCAGGATCTCTTAATAGTCTCCCTCTGTCAGTCACCCTGAAGAGTCTGTAAATAAAACTTAACATTTTAAACATACACATGAGCTCCAATGTAGTGGTTAAGAGCGTGGGACTGGGACTCAGAGGATCTGGGTTTTAGTCCCTGCTCAGCCATGGAGCCAACTGGGTGACTTTGGGCCAGTCACAGACTCTCAGCCCAACCTACCTCACAGGGTTGTTGTTGTGGGGATAAGATGAAGGAGGAGATGTAAGCTGCCTTGAGCCCTTTGTAGGAAAAAGGCAGGCTATAAATCACAATATAAATAAATATAAATATAAATAAAATGTCATTCTAGCAGAACTCCAGTAGCACAGCAATATTTTTTCCATCCCCCCCTGCAGCCTTCCATGCCATCTGAACATTTGCTCTGGAGAATTTCCTAGCCCTCATGAGTAGATTTTGGGAATACACATGAGGTTGTGGGGATAGGGAGGAGAGGGGAAATTGCACCCCACCACATTCCACTGACTGAAAGGAAAGACAGTGCTGGAAACAACCTATGTTTATCTTGTTCATGCATTCCTGCTCAAGAAAATTTGAAATACATTTCAGGATTTGACCAAAATCTGTCTTGTCCACTGTTATTAGAAAGAATCTAGCAGTCTGCTAGTGCCTATAGGCACTGGCTAGGCTACGGTGACCTTGTTTCAAACAATCCAAACATAAGAATATAAGACAAGCCCTCCTGGATCAGGACAAAGGCCTCCCTAGCCCAGCGTTCTGTTCAAAGCAGTCCATTGACCTGGCTGTGAGAGCTCAGAAATACACAGGGAAAACACTCCCACTTGTGTTCCCCAGCAACTAGTACATAGAAACATATACTGGAGGCAATATATTACTGTAATGACTAGGGTTAAGGACTGGGTTAGGGTCGATGTTCCAAAATCAAGCTCCCTTTGAAGCTGTTGAGGCTTGGAATGTGTTTATAATGGGCAGAAAGAAAAATCTCCACCAAGCTCATATTTTGGAAATCTGTCTCATGGCATTGGCATTATGGTGAGGGTTAAGGTCCAGGTTAGGTTTAAGGTTTGATTTACCCTCTGCAGATAGAAAACAGCTGGTGGACATCTGAGGAATGACAGAATCTCGATTTTCAATTTGTGAGGAGGAAACAAAAACTCGGGTCCATGGGAAAGATCAACCGTTTGAATCTCTGCTCCTTTATTGACTGGTGCCCCAGTACCTACAGTCACTAACGATAATGCATTACTGGGCAGAAGTAAACTGAACTGCAAGTTCACAGCCCACGTACAGATACTTTTATAACCTGCTAGTCACACACACCAATACAGAGTGTTAAGTTTCCTGATAATCTTAGTACAATAGCATCCTGATGTCTTTTAGGCATGACATGATGTTCTAAACCGATTAGAAATACTGTTAACAATAGTATGGAAAACATTACTGATTGCTGTATTGATAGGTCAGTCAAGCAAATTCTTGACAGTTCAGGTCAGTCTTTTTACACATGAAAATGTGTCTGATGGAGGAATCCTTCAGTAAGTCTCCCTTGACAAAATGACTCAACAGGAGCTTACCTCTGTTTAGGTGGGCCCATTCAGAAACAAATGAACAACATTATTTCAGTTTTCCTACAGCTTCTTAAGGCAACAGCAACACTAAACAGTGACCTGGCTTGGAAAGCCCGTGCTTTGTGAGAAAGAGGTGCGGATTTGATTTTATAACACAAAGGCACATATAAGCAATGTTTTTCTGCCAGGATTTATCTAAATTTTCCCAACAGTAACAGCAGAGAGGATGAAGGTGTTGAATATAGACAGCAGTGTATAGGGAAGCATCTGTGTTACTAGGTAGAGATGGGTAGGAGAGGCCAGATAGCCAGAAAGACTCTTGATGTTGCAACTCTTTCCAGGAGTCTCTCTGGTAGCTGAATGCACGAACCAAGAAAAACATGATCCTAGATTTGAATGTCATAAAAAAAATCATTGTGGTATATAGAAGCATAGAACAAACCATTTTTTAAATTGTGTTTTCTAAAAGCAAACTGAAGTATCTATGCTGAAATGCCATGACTGTGTTCAGATGACATGGCAATCAATGATAAAAATACAACACAGCTATTTATCTCTTGCAAGCCCTGTCACTTACTGTTTCATGGGGTCACAGCTGAGCAAGAATATGAGCCAATGAATTTTCTTGGACCAGAATTGATATTCTGTCCAGCTCTCTGAGCTGTTCTTTAAACTATTGGCTTCTGAAGACCTTGCATATAAGGAACATACTTAATATATTCATTTTTGCACAATCTAATGTTCAAAAGTGGTATTGCAGTAAAGGTTGAAACTTGAATTTATCTCCTTACACATGTGCTTTTTCAGTCATCACCAAGATTCCATGGCTACACAAATTAATTAAAGTACTTTGGTTATAACCAATACAGCTATTCATATGGAAATGTGAGACTTATCATTAAGATCATTAAGAAATGAAGCAAATGGCATGGGGGAAAGAGTTGCATTTCCCTTTTCTAAATGCTGAGATCTGGGATGTTGGGTTACTAGGGCATTTCTTTCAGATTAATCTGATACAGATGTAAAAACTGACAATCAGGTACTCACCAACAGTAGGAATCTTCTCCGGGCTACCATACAGGGAAGCCTTTTTCTTAAAAATTGGATTAGAATTGGTTGGGTCCCCCCCCCCCCTTTTAGATTCTCAGTGATTGCTACACTAACGCTTATTTACAGACAAGTTAATGACGTTGTGTTTTCTTTCCTTTTTTTAATTCTAGGCTGCCTTTCAGGGCAGAAGCTATTCCATGGTGACTTGCAACAAAAGCATTCATAGAATAAAATCAGTGCAGAAGTAAAACCAGCAAGCATTCCATAAACAACAAATAAAAGCACGAGACAAAGCCTTTCGCACAATTGCAACTGGAGACTGAAGCCGTCATAGAAGATTCATAAGCAGAGCAGTAAGTAATGCCTCTGGAATAGAATCGGTACTATTTTTTAAATTTTATTTTTAAAACAGTATAATTACAAAAACAACATAAAATACACTAAACACACACGCAAATAAATAAACAGGGAGCTTCAGTTAATTGAATTGTATAAAGAAGTTTGGAATATAGCAGTTAAGGACAAATTGACATGTGGAATTAGGGCAAAAAAGGACTGACAGAGAAATGATTTTAATGATATATGGGGTTTGCTTATTGAATATGCATTAATAAGGGGAGAGGATATTAAACCTTCAGTGGATGTGATGCAATTTTGGATGGAAGGGGGTATTCCTAAAAAAAAGTGGAAAAATGAAGGAAAAAATACAATACAGTCATGGTCTTTGTGAAGGGGTGCACCATGATTTTTGAAGTATAGATACTATAAGGTACGTTATGTATTATAGGTACTGTAAGATCTGACTGCCTCGGCCCCACCAGCTCTTGCATTCTGTACCAGTTTCCAGACTGTCTTGAAAGGCAACCCCATGTGCAACACACTGCAGTAGTTCAGCCTGGACTCCACCAGTGCTTGGGTAACCAGGGCAGGGTCTGCGCTCTTCAGACAGGGCCGCAGTGGCGTAGTTGCCTAGTAAGTGCCAGCTGGCAAGTGCACTCCTGGACATTGCATCCACCTGCACTTTGCCAGTTATTACCACATCCAGAGACTGGCTGCTGGGGCTGCTGCTGCTGCTGCTCTGACCCAGGAGCAGCTTTCCCAACACTGACACATTCAACAGTAGATTTTTTTTTATATTTTCTTAGTATGTAAAACATTTTCCATAAGGCTCATAGCAAATTAGCTCATTAAATGAAAATATCCAAGCTCCTCACAAAAATGTGTATAA